TGTTGGTTTAACTGGAACTTTTGCTGCTTAAACTTGCTACCAAACAATCAATTCTACTAAAAGTGCCACCCCTCTCTCATGTCGCTCGGGGCGGACCGCTCACCCTTGCTACGTCTCTGGGTCAAACACTACGATATACTGTATTGAGGTGTCAGTAAACAAATATGCGCCCAACTTTGACGGAAAATAAGAAGCCCAAAATTTTATCTCTAACTTGTTAATCTGACGAATTCTCTGAGCCGTCCAGTGCTGGTGACCTCAAGGCTTCGATTCAGTACGATGACCTGAAGGGGTTATCGATTGGTCAAAAGATGGTGACAATTAGGTTACTTTAGTCGTTTGGTGTTAAGCCTTCTGAAGTATCTCCTGTGAATAGGATTACAACCCATAACCTTAATTAGGGTTATAATCTGCTTTGCAGAAGTCTGCCAGTATCAGTAAGTGAGCAGCGGCAGAAACAATTTTCGACTTTGGCTGGGTTGCACTGCTAGATTGGCATGTTTCAATGTTCGCATATTGCTTCAGATCGGTCAACAGGCAGCACGTGCCCGAATATTAGAGACCCTCTCGATCGATATCCGTTGCCTATCGGAGACTCGCCTACAAGACTCGAGCTCTATGCTCACGCTGCCATCCCCTTCACGTGACACTAGCAGCACTCTCATTGCGCCTATCCGGTGACGGTGCAGCTTCGAGTACCGGCCAAGCCGGTGTTGGTATTGCCCTGAGTCCCCCAGGCTGAAGCTACTCTGGTTGATTAGATTCCAATCAGTAGCCGGATGTGTGCTGTCCGATTGGCTGGCTAGTTCAAAGCTTCGAAGTCGCGTGTGACTAGCATGTGTCTACTCGTTATCGCAGACTATGCACTGACAAACTCTAGCGATGACTCGGTAAAAGACGACTTCTATCGTCAACTGAACGAGCTCCTTCGCCACAGAAGAAGCTCGGACACTGTTGTGCTGGCTGGGGATTTGAACGCTCAGTTTGGAAAATTATCCACTGCAGAGCTGCATCTGGGCGGCCAACATGGTGTAGGCTCCCGTAATGATAACAGCGAGCGGTTACTTCATTTGTTTGAAGATGCTCGCTTATTTCTTGCGAGCCCTAATTTCCGATACAGCACCCGCTGAAGGGTGACTTGGTGCCCACCAGCCTCGAACCAGATATGGACGCAAATCGATCACACCTCGATAAGTCACTGCTGGAGAGGCTGTGTCCAGAACTTTCGCTCGATTTGGAGCACATATGTAGACACCGAACATGCACTTGTATGTTCTGACCTGCAGATGCGTTTTGGCGGACGCCCACGACGATGTTGTGACCGCATGGACACCGGCCAACTGGCGAAGCCAGCTGTTCTGAATGCCTATCAAAGTGCGCTATCATGCGAGTTGGATAAACGCTCACTGGTCTCATATTTACCAGACCTTACTAGCAGCAGGAAAATCCTCATGTGGTATGTTTAATCGCCAACATGGACATTGGGTCACTTCACAGTCTCTGGAACTTATAGATGCTCACCGGCATATTCCGGCTGGAAGCGAACACAATGAAACTCGCACAGAGATCCGGGAAAAACTCCGTGCTAGCCTGAAGACAGACCGCGAATCTTGGTGGTCTCATCATGCATCAGAGATGGAAATGGCTGCTGCTCTTGGTAACCATCGTAAGTTATTCCGGCTGATACGCGAATCGGGCAGCAGAAGACCTGGTGTTAGTGAAACAATTTGTGACGAGAGTGGGCAGCTTATCCACAACTTGTCAAAACGCTTGGAGCGTTGGGCTGAGCACTTTGAAAGGCAAGTTAATCGGCCGGAATTGTTTGATTGTTCGCCGGCCACTGATAGCCCCACCTCGTGGGCTGTCCCTTTGGATCCACCCTCTAGCTCAGAAGTCGATTGTGAGATCGGACTGTTGATGTTAAATAAAGTCGCGGGACCAGATGATCTTCCTCCAGCCCTCTTCAAGTTCGGGGGACCTGCTCTTGTAGATAATTTATACGAGTTATTAGTGAAACTGTGGGAGCAGGAAACTGTCCCAATCGACTGCAGCCATTTCGTCATAGTCTCAATTTTCAATGTAGACTGATGATCGGAATGCGGCAGCCATAGAGGAATCAGTCTGATCTCCATCGCCTCCAAATTGCTTGCCTCTGTCATCCTTCACAGACTGACTCGCACTCGTGAAAGCCAGATTCGTGAAAAGCACTCTGGGTTTCGTCGAGGTCATGGCTGCATTGACCACATCTTCACTTGCGTCATTTGTTGGAGCACCGTCACATATATTGGCGGCCCACCGTTGTCGTGCTCCTCGATTCCAAAGGTGCATTCGATTCAGTGGATAGACGTGCACTTTGGGACTGTGTACTCAGGAAAGGTGTGCCTGGGAAATATGTAAATATTATCCGAGCATTATATGCGCGTAGCATAGGCAGAGTGAGGGCTTACGGTAAGTTGTCATCGCCCTTCAATATCTCCAGCGGTGTGAGACAAGGATGCCCGCTGTCACCTTTCCTCTTCAACTTCGCTGTTGACGAAGTCATGGAAATGGCGTTTTCAGGACACGACAGAAGGTGTGGATCTGCTCCCAGGAGAACGACTTCTTAACTTAGAGTATGCTGATGATGTTGCCCTCATCTGTGACAGCTCACAAACGTACCAAGCGGCACTGAACAGGTTAGCACTGGCTGTCCGTCACTTTGGGCTATGCTGCGCACCCTCGAAGTGCAAAGCGTTCCGCCAAGATTGGTCTAGACCGCTTCCTATGCCGACCCTTGGTGGGGATCAGCTAGAAGTCGTTCAAAAATTCAACTACTTGGGAAGTTGTGTCAGCGCCCGTGGGATTGAAAATGAGATTACGAACCGTATAGCAAAGCTCAAGGCGCTTTTACTAACCTTCGTCATTTGTGGCGCCGGCGCGACGTCACTCTTGCCCTGAAGGGTGGAGTGTACAATGCAGCGGTACTTTCGAATTCACTGTACGGTTGTGAAACCTGGCCCCTTAAAGCAACGGACCTGAAGAGGCTAGTTACGTTCGACCACCGGTGCCTTCGCAATTTAGCTCACATCTGGTGGGAACACCGCGTGAGCAACGAGCGTGTTCGACGCCTTGTTTACGGCACAGGAAAAGCAAACGAACCGCTCAGCACAGTTATTTCACGCACCAGGATCCGATGGCTCGGCCACGTGTTACGCATGCCAGGCCACCGACTCCCGCGACGTGCGTTGTTTGCGCGCCGGGGGTGTGGATGGAAGAAGAGGAGGGGTGGCCAAGCGATGACTTGGTCTAGAGGAATGAAAGCCCTCACTTCGGATGTGGCCTCGGTTAGAACGTCTCGGCTCCCTGGTTGGGGTCCGAAAGACGATGAGCACGTTCGACTGGATACACTTGCTGATATGGCTAGGAGCCGACCTCAGTGGCTTTCGTGCTGTGAGTTTCTTTGTCCCAACCCATCCCTCTTAGCCTCCCCCTCCAACCACGATCTCATTACTTAGCCTTACATAATTTTGAATAGTAATTTTTTTGCTGCACAGTAGCCGGCCCGTAGCTTATCGGAAAGATATCCATCCATTACCGGTAGCTCAGCCGGCTTGCAGCAGTTGCCTTTTTTCTCCTTTTTTCTGTATTGCGGCACAGTAGCTGGGGTGTTTCCCACGTCTAGCTAAGGTGTATGATAATGATGATGACATGTTAGAACGGACAGAAATTAGGTTTCTCAAAAGTTCGCAACCCGAATCCGTGAGGCAAAAGGGAACGCACCCATGCCAGTCCCTCCTGATACTCAGACAAAACTCCCCGCTAATAGGTCACCAGTTTAAGTTAGTTACGCAGTACAACCGCGTGGAATGTCGGCGAAACTATTTCTCCCTTCGTGTGCCACAGCCATGGAATGCCCAACCGGAACATGTAATTAATGCACCTACCCTATCCCTTTTCCAAAGGGCCTTGACGATACGCTGTCACATTTACACTACGTGCTATAGCCCATGACCACCAGATGCTGCCACTAATGCACAACAGACAGTGGATAGTGCCATAACCCTACTCGAGAATGAGTCATTCCAAACCCCTTGCACGAAATTTGATAAACGCTAATACTATAGAAACTGGATTTCTGTATCCTGTCGACCCAAGATAGTTGCACACAAGTAAGCGTTGTCCTTGCTATCTTTTTTATTTTTTATCAACTATTTGTGATCAATAACCACTTCCCTTATTGCTTTGTGTGCGTACATTCTCATTTCAATCTCCCTTTATACGACAGTGCAGTTAAATCTGTAATCGCCCGAACTGACGATTCCATTATCTCTTGATCTATCTTTTTTCACGCTAAACACCCTACGGGACATGTCAAGCACTTGCTTTTTTACCCGTTATAAATCATTGTTCATTGTTCAAGGGTCGTTACAACTATTGTTCTCGGAGCTCGGTGCTGGGGCAGTGAAGGTCACTTCAGTCAACGAGTAGATCCTGCGTTTGCGTCCATGAACAGATATCTCATTTTGATGAATGCAGACAATGATGAACTTTATCATGGAATGTGGTCTTGGGAGTGAAGCACATCCACGATTTATCCTTTAGATTAACAAAATTAATGGCTGCACCCTTTGCTAAGCACTACCATCATTTGACATCGGACTTCGTCAGTTGCGTTATGCTCGACTATTTTAGTGATAAACAAATCTTTCCTAAAGAAACATTTTCGAGCAGAATTCAAACAGCTGAATATTCGTAATGCCTAAACTATCATTTTATGCCGGAATAATAAATAAAAGCTTCAACTTCGGTGGACGATATGCAAAATCCGGTAACAACTATTTCTTGTAACGCAAACATATCATTTTTGGCTGCAGTGCTATTTGTTCTTGAGTATAACCGGGTCTAATCTGGGAGCAAGCAACTTACACAGAGATTGAAATAAAAGGAACTCGATTCCAAGTTTTGAGTCCGACTGAGATGCTGGGGGCATACGGGTGTGAAAGTAGATGAACAACAAAGTTGGGGATCAATGTATGTTTTGGTATATCCTCTTATTCAAGCTGGATGTACAGTCACAATTGATGAAAAGGATGTGGTCAATTGACCAAACAGAAATATCTTGCAAACGGAGGCTATACACGTTTGAACAGAGCTTAGTTACAACGAAAAGTCATGGTGGAAAATTACATGATTAGAAATTTATCTAAGGGGAACTGCGTACCACACGTCTTCCTGCACCTCGTCGCGCTTGGTCATCTATGAGGTGTTCTGACTGCGCCTGCGTGGACAATAAAACCCGAAAGGATGGGGTGAAAAATGTCTAGTAACTAAGCGAAAGACAATAAGAGCAAAGTATCTCGAATGTGATGCTGACGGTGGTTACAGAACAGAATGATAGGCAGAATTGCCCAGTTTCTAAAATCCGACAGCAACCGCGGTTTTCGGATGTGGCATAAGTGTGACCTGCATGATGGAACGCGAAAGCATGAGTTAGAGTAATTGAATAGAAATCTAAAAACAAAAGTTATATAGGAAGGACATTTTAGCTGGTGTACCGTGCATAATATGTAACGTGAAAGACTACAGAAAATCGATGGATTATAGGCTAATAACACCTCTTACTTGTACCTGAAACAGTTGATAATATTCTGCAGTGAATGCGAGTCTTTAACGATTCTGTTCTTCTGGGCCCTGCATGTAGGGAGGTAGTCTGCCCTCGGAGAAGGAAAACAGTTTGGGTTTCAGAAATTTATCAAATATAACTTCGTGTGAAGTGAACATGTAAGCCATGAATGTTAAGCGAGTATTTCACTTGTGTAGAAGAACAAAAGGCGAATACGCCTAGGTTTTGTCGAAGAACCTACTGAGCAATGGAATATGTCATCATCTACTTGTATCACAATGTCGTTGTCCTAAATGGCGAAGGCAGAGTGAATCAGGCGTTTAAACGCCAAGCCACCACATTGGATGTCAAGTGGCGCCGTGTAACTTGCAGCATGCATGAAGAATAGACAAGTTCATACTTGCAAGACTAACAAGTTGAATGGCAGAGGAAAATGCACTTGTGGGTCATGCCCATTACTATCAACCAACCGGATACTCAAAACAAATGAGGTTCTCGGTGTACTGTTAGTGTCAGATAAGTCATCATCATCATTATACACGTTAGCTGCAGGTGGAAAACACCTATGCAATTGTAACCCAATACAAAAGACAAGACGAAAAAACACCCAACAGAGGCACACCGGCTGAGGTCCCAGTAACGGATGGACATCGTTCCGGAGAGCTAAAAGCCGCCTAATCTGCCGCAAAAAGAGTTATATTATGCCTAAGGAATAAAATTGTGTTTGGAGAGGGAGACTAAGCAGGAGGGGGATGGACAAAGGAACTCACAACACAAACGCCATTGAGCCGGCTCAAAGCCTTATAAGCCAGCTTGTCCAACCAAACGTGTTCACCGTCCTTAGGGCCCCCCAGCCAGGCAGTCGAGATGCACCAACCGACGCCAAATTGGAAGTGAGGGTTTTCATTTCTCTCGACCAAGTCATCGCTCGGCCTCCCCTTCTCCTCTTCCAACCGCACCGCCGGGTCGCAAACAATGCACTTCGCGGGCGTCGGTGTGCTGGCATGTGCAACACGTGACCCTGCCATCGGAGCCTGGTGCGTGATATAATGCTGTTGAGCGGCTCACTAGCTATTCCTGTACCAAATACACGAAGCCGAACACGCTTATTGATCACGCGGTGCTCCCACCAGACATGAGCTAAGCTGTGAAGGCAGCGATGATCGAAAGTGACGAGCCGTTTTATGGCTGTCAACCTGATGGGCCAGGTTGCACAACCGTATAATAGGGTTGTACGGACGGCTACGTTATAAACACGGCCCTTCAGGGCAAGAGTAATGCCGAGTCTGCGCCACACATGGCGGAGATTGGCAAAACCACCTCGAGCTTTTGCTATACGGTTCGTTATTTCAGCTTTGCTATCTCAGGCGCTAATATAACTCACACAAACTTCCAACGCTAATATAACTGCCCAGATACTTGAATTCCTGAACGACTTCTAGCTGGTCACCACCAAGGGTCAGCGCTGGGGTGAGTCCTTGCCAATCTTGGAGCATAACTTTGCATTTCGATAGAGCAACGCATAGCCCAATATGATTGACAGCCAGTGCTAATCGGCCCAGTGCAGCATGGCACGTTTGGGCGCTGTCACATACGAGGGCAATGTCGTCCGCATACTACTATTCAAGAAGTCGCTCACCAGAAAGTAGCTCGACATCTGTTAGGACGTGTCCAGTGAACACTGTTTCCATGAATTCATCAATAGCGAAGTTAAAGAGGAAAGGTGACAGCGGGCAACCTTGTCTCATACCGCTGGAGATATTGAAGGGCGGCGACAGTTTGCCATAAACCCTCACTCTGTCCGAACTACGCTCGTACAGCGCTTTGATAATGTTTACATATTTATCGGGCACACCTTTCCTGAGTAGATAGTCCCAAAGACCACCTCGATGCACCGAATCGAAGGCATCTTTGATCTGGAGAAACAAGATGACGGTGGGTCGCCGATAAACATGGCGGTGCTCCAACAATTGACGCAAAGTAAAGAAATGGTCGATGCAGCCTTGCTTTCGAAGAAGCCCAGCTTGCTCTTCACGGATCTGGCCATCAGAAGCGCCAGTCAGTCTGTGGAGAACGACAGAGGCATGCAATTTAGAGGCAATTGAGAGCAGACTGATCCCTTTGTGGTTGCAGCTTTCTGAACGGGAGCCTCTCTTGTAAGGTGGGACTATGACGGAGCTGCTCCAGTCTGTCGGGACAGTTTCCTGCTCCCAGAGTTCTATTAACAGCTTGTGTAAATCATCTACAACAGCAGGTCCCCCGAATTTGTAGAGAGGTAAGGAAATTCGATCTGCCCTTGCGACCTTATGCAATTTCCTTAGTATGATCTCAAGTTCGACTTCTGCGCGTGAGGACGGATCTATTGAGACGACCCATGGAGAAGCGCACTCAATGCCCGAAAGAGAAAGCGATAACTCAGATTGGTTAAACTGCCTTGCAGAGTGTTCGGCCCAACGTTCCAAGCGTTTTGAAAAGCTGTGGATCGGCTGTCCACTCTTGTCGTCTATTGTCTAGCTTACACCAGGTTTCCTGCTGCCTATTTCCCGTATCACACGGAATAACACAATGATTATCAACCGCAACGGCTGTTTCCATTTATGATGAGCGATGAGAACACCAGGCTTCTTGGTCTCTCTTCAGACTATCACGCAGCTTTGCCCTAACATGTTTGCGAGTCTCATTGTATTCGATTCCAGCCAGAATACGTCAGAGATCATCCATAAGTTCCAGACACTTTGTAGATACCCAATGTCTAGGTTAGAAATTAGATTTGTCACATGAAGACATGCCTGCTGATAGTAACATTTGGCGAATAAGCGACCACTGATCGACGATAAGTAGAGCTATTAATGTGCTTTTACCCGTTATCTGAAGCTCAAAAGGTATTTCATATAATCTAATGTGGCACGATGTGTGACAGATTTATAGTCTACATTTTTTTCTGGTTTGACTAATAGTATACGTTGTTTACTTTTATAGATGACATTGGATAGCAGCTACCCAATGACCACGAGCAGCCACAGTTGGGAATAAAAAGAGAATAAAAACAAATGCTACAACGTTAAGTTTAAGAAAACGGAACAGCTTGTACAAGTCAGCCTCTTCACAATTTGCTTTTTAGTTGAGTTATTTGGAAAATACCGTTGGAGGTTTCATATTCTACAAAACTGCCAGCTCACGTCGTTAGCTAAAGCGGTGTGGGTTCCCAAAACTTCTTAAGTGAGGTCTTGAGGAATTCTAGGTATGTATACAACGGGGACAGCTTGTGCGAACCAACAGAATCAATCATGTTAACTCAGTCCGTTATTTCTAACGAATAGTGTGTGAACAAAGTATAAAGAGTTTAAAACCAGGGATGCCGCCAGTAACATTATCAGCCGCTGCAGCACTTATCAGGGGGGAGTTTGTGGAGCATGTAGGAAGCAGTACGCTTTGCGTCTCACAAAGGACTTGTTAACTACGGAATAGAATTAAAATTGGGGCATTTACTGTTGTTACCACGACAACTTTTGGTCATCGGAGGAACCGGAACTGATAGCCTGTCGACAGCATCCTACTTTACGTTGCGGCGAAACGTTAGCTTTGTTAACAAAACCCAAGAAGTTAATTTCCTTGTCATTCTATCACGTTGAGCATTCATTTGTAGGACGAACAAAATGGTCGTTAGTTGCTGCGCATGAGCGTTCATCAGCGTTTCATTAAAATGTATCCAAACAACTGTATAGCAGTCAATTATTCATGGTGATCGGGCCCCGGGATCCGTGGGTCTATAAGTAACCGGAACGTGTGAGCTGTTGAACTGTTTGCTACGTTCCTGTAGGACGAGGTTCTCGGTGCCAGTCACGAACATGTGTGGACTTCCTACCAGAATGGACACGGTGCACGTCTAACCCAAATGATGAACGGCGGTGACTATCACAACCGAATCCACATGCTTATCGCAGATTTGTAAACATTCTAGTGGTAGCGATCCGCAACCACTTGTGTGCACCAACCTGTGTATCTACTATGTTTGCTCTTATTGTACCATTCCCTCTTTTTATGCTTAAGCCGAAGAAACAGTCACTGGATGCAAGCAGAAACAAATGGAACAAGCAGCATATAAGTAAGTGCGCAACATCAGAGGACACATATAGAGGGCAAGCATTTACTAACGGTGGATACATGGCTGTACCAGCTCCTTCGACCACATATGGAGGTGGAGCCGCGTTGATTGATGAAATTGACTGCGTTGGTTGCCACTGTGGGTTGTCAAGTTCCGATCTTTTTTCCATTCTGCCAGCGTTCAATTTCGATTTGCTGACTGGGCCGGGCTGATTCACCGGGTATACTGTCCCAGCGTGATCCTAAAAAGTACAAATACCTGTACAGTAACACAAAACAATATGTAGTGTATAGCAACCAGACACAATGAGACCGCAACCACGGGTTTGCCTAACTGAGTTTGATTGCGATGAGTATCCTAAATAACACCAAAAGCTAGACTAATCTCCAAGGACAAGGAGAAGCAACTCGTTTAGCTGTTGTGATGAATTCATCCTTATGCATTGCAATTTACGCGCATCATTTACTTTACGCATTTATCATACGTGAGTTTTCACAAGGTATCAACTGGTGTTATGATTACAAATTATTTAGTGTTCTACACTTCACTACACGTCCCAAGTCAAGAGGTTGATGGCGCAATGTGGCTCGCGTGTTGACCTGGATGGGATTAGAATTCAGACAATGGATCACGCCAAGCCTCTGGCGGCTGCACTTGGGTTAGAGGATGGACGGATTAGTTGACGCAGTGACGCAGTTTGCTGCACTATGACCAGCAGTGAAATTTCTATTCTTCTGGATTAACTGAATCTCTTCCATCGGGACCGTTGTCAATACGCACTAGAGCTTATCGCTTGACCATGAGAAGTTTGCAGCAAATTGCTGACTATTTGAGAAACCACTAGCCAACAGATGATCTGGTTTATCTTTTGCTAAGCCATTAAACTAGGCATGAACACTTATAAGACAAGGAACTTTCAAGTAACGGTGTTTTGTCAGTTATAAGGCACAGCCACGTCAAGAAAATAGGCTCCGTCCCCAGTGAGAATTTTATCCAATCTCATCAAAGCATATTGTTGCAAGCAAACATGTTTTGACTAGGGTGAAGCTATTAACTGTCGCTTTTTCACTTAATCTATGTAAGTATAAAGAATTAATAAAAACACCACCCATTCTTAACAACTGAAATTCAGATTTCGTGAGGACTCTCAGGCCATTATCCATTCTCAGAGTATGTTATACATTGCAGTGAGCTTAATGTTCCTATTGAAAATCTTAACCTATACCTCCTGAATTATCCTCCGTTCACCCTAACTAGATGTATATATGACGAAATTTGTCCTTTGCTAAAGAGATTTGAGTACAATGTTGGTTTAGAATCTCAAAACGAACCAACCTTCAAAAGATTAGAGGCACCATTTTCAAGTACTGAGCGGTTAATCGGCTTCATGATTACCTCTGCCAAAATGGGTCCCAACAAAGCCTTTAGATGAAAACTGATATTTATATATTTATGTTAAGAATGAACTAAAAGGAGAAAAGACAGTATGGCTTCTTAACTAACTGCAAACCAATCTAGCAAACTTCTCCTCAGTTTAATCGATTTCCAGCGCAGCATCTCAGGCGCAAATCAGCGACATTAGTGGTCACCCTTCAGTAATCTAAAGGGAGGTGACACTAAAGTTGCTTTCAGTTTTGTGGATTACGACACTGTCAGCTTCCGAGTATCTACTCTTCTGCTACCTAGCTAGGAAAAACTGTCAGAGCGACAGAAAGTTCAAAGCAGGGTGGGGGCGGCAAATGAATTTACCACGTGAACTACCAATGTTGACGACCTGAAGACGTGATTGCTCTCTGGCTGAAAAGAGAACACGTGAAATATCGTAGAGATGTGCATTCTTAAGTAAAAAGTTTAATAACATTCCTCAATGTGTATGCGAGTTAGGTCCATATGGTATTTATCGACCTTGTCTAAAGCAGTCGACATGAATGGGTGTGAACCGTTAGGTAGGTGCTTGTAGGTACATGTGCGTCACAGACAAATATATATGGGTTCGCTTCTATAAGTCAACGAATAGGCGGATTATAAGAGCTAGACCGTACTAACATCGCATCATGGATGCGAAATTTTGCATAAACGGCCTAGATCAGTAGTTGCATACACAGTTGAGCAAGCGTCACCTATTCAGCAATCGTGCATAGAATCAGTTAGTCGAAACGATCAGCTGGAATCCATGTTTGAATATCCTTTAAGACCCTTTAGATTCGTGAGAGAATCCTTTGCAGCAAGACTCAACCAAAAAGCCATCACACATGCAAGAAAGCGCCAGCCGACCGTGTCGTCACATAGGGACTCGTCAGTAGTGCTCACACCCCGGATACGGCAGCATCCGTACCAATGGACTTAAGCTTACGAGTCAACATCTTATGTCACTACGCCATGGGTGACGGCAGCGGGCTGTCATGGCTGACTTCGATAGTTGCGCTATAGTGCGGTTAGTCCCCCACAGTCACATGTGTAGACGTGCAGAAGACAGGGATGGACCCCCACAACTACCACTTCCTTTACAAACCGCCACTAATATAGGTAGCATGTAAGCTGTCTATGAACAAAACAGGAAGTTGTACTGTACTGAACGCATTTTCAACTGAAATAATCTACGAGTAAGATGGATTCCTAGTTATAGAGTCATTTTCTTCTTGGATAGTTTGAACTCCGAGATAGTTACTGGCGATAACCAACTTGATATCTTGATGAAAGCAAGTTGCCTAGTGGGTGCGAAATCAGCGGCGTATTAACCCATCTATTACAACTAAGCGCGCATCCTCTTCTGGTCCCCACGTATATTCACTCATCGCTCCATTGGATATTGGCTTAATTAAGCTCATTGCACTGCCATCAAGTGATCAAACGGTACTTGGGACTTCACATTGAGGAATGTGACCGAGCTACTTTACTAACGCCTATGGTAATTAACAGTTATCTCAATGCTATCACTTTTGAAGTGTGATCATACGTCTAGCTGTGGACTGAACTTTCCCCCAAATGTTTCCCAACACATAATTTTATCAAATCCTATCAAATGTACTAAACGCAAGTGGGCTAGGAAGTTTAAACGATTTGAGTCAAGCAAACATCGCTCACCGGTTCTCTGGTTCGCGTATCCGCTGTCGTCGTGTGGGACGGCGACGACTTGGTCTTTCTTCTGTGACGATAATAATAATAGAGGAGCAGCAATGCACCCAATATCGTCTGTATGCCGAGTAGAAGGCCCAAGACGATTACAACAGTGGCACTGAGACGTAATAGAAACACTGGTTTGAGTGGAGGAAATGATAAAATGGATGATATACAAAGGAGAAAATCGCTGCGCTTAAGTGAAGATAAGGTAAACCAGTAAGTTTAACTTCCACTCTAATGTGCTAAACCTGCCATGCATGTTCCGGTATCAGCCATAAATATCTCGGGGACAAACGACTGCTACTTGCCCCAACCTCGTTTCACAGCGCAGGTTTTTATCTCATTCATTTGATGCGTACAAAGGTGTTTTTGTAGAAAAATACTTAGCTACAAGAAACATTTTGACCACAACACACCCTAAATAATAGAACTTATCTGCACCATTGGTCCGTTGTAGTGATTATACTGGTTTGCAGGCCATAAGACTTTAAATATTAGTCTCACGCAAGTAAATAATAAGTACAAAGTGCCGATAAATGCTGATTGGGACTATGAGTAGAAAGTTGACTGTCTTTTCGCTCCCTGCAAACTTAGCAACTAGTTACTAATATAAAGTCTCTTATAAAGAAGCCGGAAGGATAAATCTAAGCATTAGAACGTGTGCTGAGATGGAACACTTTACACTGGTCTTCATTTTGAACAATAGGGTTCATGACCAAGGGCTGATAGCGCTAGACGGTCACAGTTATTTATGCTGGACAGACTCATTATGACTTTAACATGCCTAGCTTGCTGCTGCCGTCGGTTATCCATGGCCAGATGCCAGGCTATGAGTGCATTCTTTGCTTGCTCTTTAGTGTACTCTCTGTTACCCATCACTGATCTCAGTTCAATACATCATGTTTTATGCTGTTTTGTAGGAAGCGCCAATTCGTGCATTTAAACGCTGTGGTTTCGGAAATTGCAACCCCTATTGCAATTCAAACATTCGCTATACTCTGGACTTTATTCCGCATGACCCCTGTTCCATACTTTGCCTGTGAACAGAAATTCTGCACCAAGTAATTAAAAGCTACACGAAAGGAAGGTATTGCACCAGGATGGCTTGCAATAAAGTGCTGTATCTGCTTGCTTCAAATGCATGCTTAGATTTATTAGAATAATCAGTAACAGGGAATGACGGGGACACTGAGCTTCCGTAGTGATCTTCTGGTGTTCCATTCAACGTTGCTGGCGATTTCGCAAGCGAAACACGTGGTCACAAGTGCCGCCGGAGAACTGTGAGACAGACCAAGGTTTATGCTGTTCGCACAACTTAGACTGCAGCCATTAAATGTCACAATCCTTGTCTAAATGGCAACAAGCCGTCTACCGCCGCTGATTTTAAACTTGTTCTGTGGATTCTGATACTTGTAGGGGTCAAGCATGTTTTTAGTCAAAAGGTATAAGTTGCCTTATGGTCTTATGTGGCCAAGTCTCTTTGAATGGACTGTGAAATTCCTGCGGCAGTCTGTTTGTCCTCTCAGTCATTGCCTTTATTAAAGTATACTGGTCAATAAGACAAAAGCACTGAGCGATAACTATCTTGGTTCGATGTTGTGTGGTGCACTCACGACTGTTTTCCGGTTCCCATCAATGATAAAAATCAAATTTTAATATCAGACTGATGTAGAATATCAAGACATACTGCAGTTACTGGTCATTTCTTACAACATAGTATTTAGTTTTATCTACTGCCCTTGTGCGCGGGGTTTCAATTATCTCAGAATGCACAGTGGTGTGCGGTGAGGATGCAGCCTTCGTGTGGCCCAACCTACTAGTCTTGTTGGAGATAACCAACCTGACTGACTAATTAATCTAAATGGTAAACTATCGCACTGTTGCACGTTCTGGGTCACCCCAACCCAGTTCTACAGGTCACAACTAACAGGAGCAGTGTATCCCTGAAGTCACACCGATAAAAGTGTACGTGAAATCGATTGGTATTCAACGTCCCAACTCATAACTGAGGCACTTTATAAAATAAAGAATAGTTTCACGTACTCATGGTAACAAAGGCTTACATGATAGCACAACACCTAAGACCTCACTTTGCAGACAGAGAACAGCAATAACTGATTCCGATGCGTAGGTCGATGCAACAATATCTCCTCTCTGGGTGTTCCAGATTGTTGGGGCACAAATAATGCGTAAATGTACGCATGACGCCATTTACCCACTCAGTTCGGTTTCCAGGGCACACTGTAAAACGCACTATATAACAGAATAGTAAAAAAATTTGCACTAAAACTAATTTTTGGAAACGAGTAGACGAAAGCCTGATTCCAAAAGAGAATAAAATGGGCAGTGGGTGAGAAAATCGAAAATGAAGGGTATGCAATTTAGATTGTAGCGACATATTGCATAATGTCAGGACGTCAAGTTGCCATCATGAGGACTGAAAAAATTAATTAAGACATCGCAGTCCTAAATAATGCCGCAGTGCGATCATAATATACAGAACCTAAATAAACAATCAGACCGTTTATCGGGTGTATTGTAACGAAGCCATGACTTCCAAGGATGGTTGTAAGTTATCTGCTACCGTGATATCCAGTGTAATGGCACAGACACTGTTTATACCATGCATCAAATTCCGTTTCAATTTTATAAATTAAATCTAATGGAAAGAATGTTTTCTATGCTCAAGCTGCTCCTTAAGTTTAAAGCAACAATAGTTGACTAGGTTCTTGGAATAGACGCCCCAAATATCCGACTAGCCAGGACTATTTTAATATAAAATTCTGCAATCCGAACATGTTAACAAACCAGATTTCCGATCCTTTACAAAAAATTATATGATAGTGAACGATGTGTGGTCTATCAATCTATGAAATCCAGAGCTCTCAGTATCCACACGAGGTCCTACTTTTATTCGGTGAGGCCTGAGTAGAAAACGTGAAGCGGTTGCCGGACTAAAAACAAAATGAGCCAATTGAAATCCTATTTTCCATATTGGAAGGCAACAAACTTATCTACAGAGCGATATGATCTAAAGAAAATCAAAGCTAATTAATAATAATAGATTTTTCCACGTTTGGCAGCTGCACAATGAGGGAAAACAACAAGGAAACTATGGGGAGATCAGTCGACGCCAAATAGGAAACTAAAGTGGAGTCAATCCGAAGCACCCGTTTTGTGAATAGATTGCGGAAAGCAGTCTCAATCAGGGTTCTGGTTCACTTTGAAGCAATGGAGGTGAATTCCCAATTTGTCACACCTAATGTTGCAGGTTACTGGAAGGCAGGATGATGTTCAATAGCCTACGTTAACTATTCGGGTCTGGTATTACAATTAACTAACGCCTATGACCGGAACGTTTGTCGATTTCGGGACTGGTTTGTTGCGCTGTCTGCGAAAAATCTTCTTCGGTTTGGCTACTGAGCATTTTGAACTACTCGAAATGTTAATGGACTGCGACATGCAATTTCAACCGGTACCGTGGTTTACGATGAAGTGGATTTTGGTCATCCCGGTTACTGTGACCACGAGCGCATAATTCCTAACAATCAAGTTAATTTAGTTGTTTTGATGAAGAGTTTTCGTGCGCTACCGTGTGCCCTAACAAATAGTATGCTTCAGCTAGATCTGCAAAAGCGATAAACGACTACTTTTGGTATCATAAAGTATCTTACTGATGGTGCGTACAGAAGTGAGTTTCACTAAGATTGGTGAGATGTAGCATGAACTGCTTGTGTCCTATCACGTAACAACAAAAGGTCCAACTGTCATTGGAGGTGCCATTTCCCAGCGGGTGGTGGCACGGCGAAGTGGCTTGGGCTCTTGAGTCACCGTTTTCCATTTCTCTCTGATACGTGAGTTTCTTCCATCGTTCATTCATAAGTTCGCTTTTTATTGAGCAAGCCTGTTACTACATGTTTGATGACTAGAAGCTAGAACCGGTATTGTTGTCCGCCTTCACACAGTAGGCAACGTCGCATTTAAGTTGCTGTCAATTCTCAACATCAGCATAAACATGTTAGTTAATAGAATGGCGCATAATACGGTTAAGACGAAAATTTGAGGGCCGAACTGATATTCTAAAACCAACACCAATGAATTAAAGAGAAAAAGATAATATGCTGGCAAATGAATTTCTCGGTAGGAAGTTGAGGTAAGTTACTAGTATAGCACGACTTAATTAGAGCTATTTTCTTCAAAGCATCTACTAAGCAGTATGCAATTAAGCAAACATCCTAACTAACAAAAGCCAAGTGCATTAAACCGAAATTAGAACGGTTAGACAATTAGCTTGTCCTTCCATAATAGGCATTGGTGGAAACTATGCTACTGGTTTATTCTCCTTTCTGGTCGAGCAAAACCACTTTGATCATCAAGTAACTCGCTTGACTTTGTAGAATATTTCATCATGTGATTAAGTTCACGGCAATATTCGCTGACTCCGACTTAGTTGACAGTAGACAGAGCTTCGGTAATTACCAGCGCCGGAAACGGAAGTGAAGCTACCTTGTACACAGTCTAAACCTGCATGGCCCAAAGTGCACCTACGAGGCTCCGCAACTCCATGCAGCGATGGAGCAAGTGCTTACAACAGCATTTATCGGGCTCATCATGCAGAATTTCATGAACGTGCACAAAACAACCAAACGTTTCTTGGACTCAAATTGCCACCGGGAGAGATTACTGCAGGCACTCAGTGAGTGGTATTACGAACTCCTCGTGAAAAACTTCATTTGCCTAAGGTTGGTTAAGGTAAACTCGTTCAGCTTGAATGGAAAGGTAGTCAGCATCTGGCAGTTAAGCAAACGCCAACGCAGTAGTTTCATGATCAATCGGATGAGCTGTAACTTTGTAACAACTTCGGTTAAGAAACTTGCGGTTCAGGTAATGCCACAGAAACTACTCATCAATTAAGCAAGTGATGTGAGCTACAGACTCTGATCGGGTGTGTGGAAGAGTCACTGGTTTGAAATAGCACTTGCTGCACGATGACAGTAGAGTGTGCATCATAAGTAAAGTGGTTACCAATGATGATACACTTTGTCCATAGGCCGTTACTGGACATTAATTTAAAAAATTTGCGTTAACCATAATGCTATCGGGCAGTTTCTCAAAAGCGGTTTCATGGTTGCATATTTTTTGATCACTTATCGAGCTGAGTCGAAGTGCAGCACGTTCAACACCAACGTATTATTTTGAACTTGAGGTTTGTTTGTAATCATTTCTGCTTGACTACATATGTAAATATGCAATGAAAAAGACTCACTTAAATCCATAGCGTTGGAAACTTGCATTGCTGCCCTCATGGAAGGTGGGAGGTAAATCGATTCTAGTGCATCTCTTGAAGGAAAAGTGAAGTTGAGTGCAGAACAATTGCTGTGTAAAATGGGCATTTCAATAGGTATTTCAAAGAGATGTAAAAGACTTTGCAACAGCAATGTTGTGATTATTTCAAACATTACTTAGCTTGTTCCCATTCGCATTCCGACGGATCTCCTTATCCCGTTTCATGCAAAGGGACAGCAAAAGCCACGTGGAACTCTGCAAGTCAGCCTAGTGGTGGCAGTTGTCGTTCGGGGATCATCAGTTATCAAGGGATAGTAAGAAACGAAATGCCGGTCTGTGCAGTATAATTTTTGCACAGAAGCCGAGCAAAACACCGTATTGAATTGACCGGATTATTGTGTTATTTGGGTTGCCCCCTATTTACGATCAAAACAACGACTTCCTTGGTGATTTATTCTGCTGTAACATTGTCCTTCAAGTTATGACATCTTTGGGTTCTCGCTCATATCAAACCGACAGACTTGATTACCAGTGACGACGGCAAGTGTCCACGACAGCATGATGTTGACGACGGTTTCTGAAAACGAGTTCCCTATGTGTGACTACGACGAATCTGAAGCACGTGCCCAAATAATTATCGTTGTTGCACATTCAGTCATGAATGAATTAACACGCATACATGCATTTCTGGTGTCCTTTCCGATTCGCAATTCAACTTAATATCCCAAGTCATGCACATCACATTGTCCTATCATCCTACTTGCTCCACTTAATCTGTTTTAATTTTGATAAAAGCACGGACCTGTATTCTACCAAGTTAGAGAAATACCCATTACTAACAGAGAACAGTTCAACTCGAGCGATACAATATTTTAACTGGTCAGCGATAGCCGACAAATTTCGGTAGTATTGAGTGAGAAACACTGAGGCTGTTTTCGGCAAATTCGTTGAGGTAAATATTACCTTTAATGGGGAAAAAGTTAAAAGTTACCAAAAATTTCGTAAACTTCTGAATAAAGTAATAAATAGCATAAGTAAATAAAGGATAAAGTCTGCAGCAATCAACCCACATGCCAAAAAAGTATCTTGTTGTTACGTTTTCACTCCCTGTGGTAAGCTGCCATTGAGAGCACTGTGCCATAGAGCATTTCAACTATTTCATACTCCTGCAAAATATTAGCTTCCAGTCCATTCCTGCATTTTCTTTTGAACAACAGCTCATTCAGAAGCTGGTTGGCCGAAATTCACAGAAAGGATTACCGTTGGAGCCATGGAGAAACCTTTGTATCAGCTTGCTTCGCTCCCATTTAAACTGGGTACTTATGGCTCTTAAGTTCAAATGCCCGAACACGCTTGTTGGGACTTTCTTAGCTCTGGTCTGCTTTAATAAACACAAATCCAATAGAAAACCTTGTCTTCAGGTTCAATATATTTAATAGAAGTTAACGATCTCATTGGCACGTTCCTCCTGTAAACGGAAAGAAATAAAAGATGGCGCCATAGCCGTCATGTGGCACGCAAAAGGATGTAGACAGATTCAGGGACTTAGATATACATTAGTCCACGAGATTCTGTTTCACATTAGAACGGCAGAGGGAAAGAATACACATAGTTCTTATCCTTAGATGCCGTAGATTGAACTCTGTTACACATAAGCCTTCACTTTTATCCCCCCTTACTGCCTGTCCGATTTACACGAATTGACTAGGTGACAGAAAAAACTTCGAGATTTAGGTGTTTGCAAACAATGAGTCAATGCAGTTGGTAATATCTCACTGTCAACTGCATGTGCATTTGGTTAAATTAGATGGTAGGCAATGCTCAGTCAACTTGTGGATAGTCTATTGTTCTGGTACTTTCTGCAATGAGCAATATCTAACAAATGATTACAGTAACGGAAAAGTTCGCATTTAATCAGCAAGAACAAGGGACCGAAGGTAAGCAATTGTTTTCGGTGAATTCATCGTCAGACCTTTACAATCATATGGGTGCAAGATGAATTCATGGAAAACAATTGTTTACCTTCGGTCTCTTGTTCTTGATGATCTACCAAATGATCACTAAGCAGTAGTAAATATGAACTACGGTGGATTCACTTATCCTACCAGTTTTATGTGCTTGGTAACTGAAGTGAATGCTGGAAAGAGGTGGTTTTAACGTAACAAATTTAATGCGTATTCAATACTGTTAGTCTTTTCATACATTCTAGTTTTGGGATACGTACGCATCACATGAAGTGAACGTTTTTCATTGAAACCGAGTACCTTAGTGCCGTAGCATTGGTGATTTAACTCACCCTTCGAACAAAATCGCAAGTGTCTAGTTGGTACACATTATGCAGGCATCCCCAGGTCAGAAAATCTGCAATCCATTACACCACGATTGTTCACACAGTTATATTAGGCATGGGATTGTCCTGTATTTGATCAGAATCACAGCGATCTACACTCCAAAAGAAGCATAAATTACTCTACACTTACTGTCATCAAAAGCAAGTGATGGTTCAGCACACACGGCCAAACGCCGAGGTGCAATATATATCCAGCTTACTTCATACACTCTTTGGAAATTATGACCACACTTTGCTAACGGCCGATTGTCGTTCCCAGGTAGAAGACTTCATTCGGCATTTGTGTCTGATGGAGCATCACTACCAGACCTAGATCTTCAAGCACAAGAAGAGTGCGTTCAGGGCTGGCAACCCAAAAGTCAACCACACATTTCAATTTCCCATTATGGCCACGGGTGTGATTAAACTAAGAAAAGCGAAACCACTGAACCAAATTCGCTTATGCAGAAGGATTGTATAGTCTATTTAATTGACCGACAGAGGATGCGGTCAAGTAGCAAGTGAACACACAGACTGTACTAATACCTGATGGGGTGTATTGGGAGTATTTCTAATGGTTACATGGGTTTAACCAATGAGGGAATTTGCAGTAGCAAAAATGATTACATGCAGAATATGCAAATAGTATTGAAACTAAAGTAATTTATGCTTTGTATTCTTTATTTCACATGGTATACCGACAACAAGAAAGACAATCTTATATTATTTGACATAAGGAATTAAACTTGAAAGAGTGATGTTAGTACTTGCCTCCTTGGAGAAGTTCATTCATTGTGGAATGCTGCTGACCAGTTCGATGATCAGTGTGCAAGACGAAATTTGTACAAAGTATGTTCGTTAGGCTGATATGCTACTTTGTTCGGTGTATTGCGCACGTTTTAGAGAGTCCGAATGTTTCTTCGTTCATGCACTGTTTTTGCGTAACAACTTTAAAATAACTTTTATTGAACTTGCAATCCAGAGATTCTGATGGTCAGAGCACCGCCACGTACTCTGTACTTCACAGCTGTGCATCGTCATTGGTGGATTACCTGAAGCTTTTCTCTAGTACGAAGACTTTATCGACTCTTCAAAAGAAAGTTAAATTTTTCGACGGGACTATTTTTTGTTGGCACCGATGTCATTGAGCAATTACTATGGTTATGCCCGGCAGGTCAATTCAGTTAATGGCAATACCTCCCAGTAATTCAGCATTGACGACGAAGGTGTTTTGTTCCTTACCAGATTTCTGTGTGTTCAGTAACAGAATTAATGAGTTGCAATGTGTTTCTGGATTAAAACCATTTACAGTCCCCCATGTTTACACAGGTTGTAGGACACCGTCAGTTTCCAATACAGATACCTGGAACACGTGATCAACATTGCAGGCACATCTCGCTCGAACACCGCTTTTAGCGATGTGACCTCAAAACGTCCGCATACTTTTACACATAGTATAAAGCACTAAAAAGTTTACAAATATGTAATTAGACGAAGATATAGCTAGTCTTGCGCGCAATTTAGGTTGATGTGCTCACTTTTACCACAGGTGATTAGTGGAGGTACCATACAATCACACGTTTGTTCTTATATTATATGTATGGACTTCGCGATCGAACAAACAAAGAACACAATAACTCCTGGGGCCACAGGCCTCTCTGTAGCTCTCTAACAGAGCTCTTTGGAAAGAGCAATTTCACTGTACATCTTCGTTGCGGTTATCACCCCTCAGAATATCGCGTGTGAATCCACTACGGTATTTGTCAGAAGTGACTCAAGATCATGAGTTCAGGAGTAAGCATTGGTCACTAGTGAGAGCATGCGTTTCAGTTGAGGTCGAATGGAACATTCGGTCATGTAAGTACAGCGGGAAAGTGCTGTAAACAATTGCTTGGTATGGGGTGACCAATGCAGACACAGTGGCTCATTTCTTATCAGCGTGCGATTACGAACCGTTGCTAAAAGGAGGTGGAAACTGTTGGCGCTATAGAGAAACAATAGTGCTGCGCGAGTAACTTAGCTGGAAGGCTTGCCTATGATTTGCTGTCATTTCCCATACAGTTAGGCATGGATAGAGTGTGAGCAGTATTGAAAAATAGTCAGAGCTAACTAGAAATTGGATGCGAGTTACGAATACATAAACACATGAGGATTACAGTGATATCGTCAGCGCCATGCGTGAAACAATTCTGTGTTTCCTTGACCAGAATAAATAAAGTACTCTTAACTTTGTTCAGAAATTCGCTACCAGAATGATTTTTTCATCTCCTACACTCCAATATGTTCGCTAGAAAGCAACTGAGTCATGCACACGGTGGAGATTTCGTATGAATGTGAAGAGGTGTACTGGACGTTAATCTTGGTGAGGGTATACAGAGCGGAAGTAAAGCTCTAGCATTCTAGGATGAGTCATGTTACGGGTTCAGTTAGCTCCAAGGTAAAAGTCAGAAGTTGATTGTTAGTATTTGAGCACCTTTCCTGAGTAGTTTGAAAATTTACGCCAGCTGAATTGTATCTAGTAGGATGGTGTCCAAGCTCAAGTATCTAATTACGATATTGATAAAATATCGTGGTGTGGAAAGTTGGTTGGTATCCATTGCAACCTCCTACTTTGGCTCGTAAAAGAGTTACCAGTAAACTCACAGATAGTATTGACGAGCACAGCAACGGGGCTCGGTCAGGTATGTCCGAGGGAAGTTACTTGTAGAATAGTAGGATACCAGTTTCTGTAATACTGAAAACGACTGAAGATTAGCCCATTCACTTTCGCAGCGGTCTTTCCAAATTTAATTAATAAATTCAGTCGGCCACGCGACCAATGGGATTAAGTGAATACTACTTTAATACAACTGATTTATTTTCGGTCTTCAGACGATCACTTACCGAGATTCAATAAGGTAAAGGAGAATAGTTAGGAATGTCAAATGGAACTCTGATGCCGATCACGAAGCATTTTCTCTTCTGCTCAAGTTCACAATGACGATCTATTCACCAATCGTTCATGCTATCAGTCAGAATTTGCGGTAACTTGCAACATGTTTGAAAAGGACTTTGTGCTCTCCAGTAAGTAATCCAAGAGAACAATGGCCCAGACAGTGCTACGTGTGAAAGTCACGGCAGTGAAAGTTTTGTATACCTTCACATACTCGATCCGGATACTTTTAATTCCGTGGCAGCATGTCTGAGAAGTTAGTTACTTAATACTCATGCGTGCAGTACTGACCCTGGGATTAGTCCAAGCGGTTTCTAAAAGGCTACGTCATTGTAATTCCCTTACGCATCGCTGAACTCAATACAACTGTAGAATACATAAGTTTGCATCTGAATAGGTATGTGAAAAGCTTTCACGAGCATTACGCACTAACTACAGCCGTCACGATTTCCGTCAGAGAAAATGAGCGCAGAATAAAAATACTCCAGTTTATGGCCACTAAAATATCGCCGTTCACGTTGCTGTTCTTCATAGCGGCAACACTGATGAACTCTTCCTGATCAGATTCACAATGCTGACTGCCGAGTATTCAGAACATTCACGACATGGAATTACCAGTAACGACGTCACAGACTACTTTTCATGTATCAGCACAGAAATGGGTGCAGCAGATAGTGGTGATCATTTCGGTCTTAATGACACCTCGCTTACAACCTACGCGTTTGATGTACGGATAAAGAGCATTTTCACTTTCTTGCTTACCAATTAAATAGGTACTCCACCGAACATTGGCCTCAGCATGAAGAAAATGATCGAAATCCGCGGAACGGAACGAAGACAAAGATGTAACCAGAGAGATGTTGAGCAACAGCTGATTTCATATGACTGGTCAGCTCGGTCAAATTTATCTCGCAGTGAAAAACATTCACTAGATGGAGTGGCACCTTGCAAGTCTGGAAAGTTGTACCGTTCAGTTTGTTTATTTGGTCCACTTTTATGGCTGTCATATAAATTATAAGCTGAAAGGTCAGTAGCCTGACAAGTTTGTCCTTCTAGGTAGCTGAACCGAAGGTTAGCAAGGACATTCCATCATGCGATTGAAGCCGAAATTTCCAAATAAAATTGTGGAAGTTACAAAACAGTAGTCTTTGTACCTAGTCTTATCCATCGTGAGATACCAGTAGCAAATTAAAGCCGAATAAATTTGCCAAAGCCATACACACAAACTTTCCTAGCAAAAAAGCACCCAAGGACAGCTTTTAATTTCCCCACGAAGTGCACGTGACACATTGCTCTTTTCAACCAGACAATAGGTTGTGGTTACTAGGGCACGAGTATAGCTACGCAATGAGCTGTAAACTAGGTCGATTCGAAATGGTCTGATTGGGAAGACTGCTTCCCAGTTATGATTTAATTCTTGTTAAAAAGTCGTTTCTCTGGAATTCACAACCTTGAAACCAACTTGAATCAGCTGGTTGGTTATATTGTAACATATTCATTACTACAAGAACTGATTTATTATGCACCACCAGAACCACTTGGAGCCAGTACCAGTCTCTCAGTCAAGGTAATATAGAAAGTCTACTGTACAAGCAGATTATATACCAAAAAGGTGGTAAAAGGATTATCATTACAGGAGGGTATCGAAAAGAACCAGTACTTAGTAGTTCAAATTTCAAACATTTGCAGGGTGTGTATGGATTTCGTAGGTTGATGAGCACGAATACGTTTAACAATGGACGCTAGTGAAAGATACAGCCTTTCCTTGTTATTGGTGTTGAAGTTTTATAGCTTTCTTAGACTGCAGGTAAACGATAAACCACGTTTATGCATCACATTTATTCCCCGTCCGACGTAAGAGCTTGTTTACGCACGGACGTATGCCAGACGGCTGCACGTCCTTGTCAAGGAAGTGCAGCAAAGATGCATCAACTGTTTTTGCGCTGCTCATCTGTATGCTAGAGGAAGTAAGGCAAAAATATTTGACGGCTGTTGGCTAAACTGTAGATGTAATTTCAACCTTTTAATTCAAATGAGCATGTTCTTAGGTTAGGTTGCTGTGTGCTCCCCAATCACTGCTGGCTTATTTGTATAGTGATGACGAATGAAAAGTTTCCAAACATGTGTTCAACTCTTGTTGTGATTGAGTGATTGCGAGCCACCTGATAGCAATTAAATCAAGGCTGAGGCCCTCCCTCTTTAATGTGAAAGCAAATCTCAATTAAGTTGTTTGAAAATTTACAGTTGGTCAGTTGATAAAACACATAAGTGTCTCCTCATGCGCAAGCTCAGTACTAGAGTACGCAACAATATTTGCATAAGGTGAATAAATAACTGCGGAGGAAGTTAAGTTTCAAACCACGGATGAAGCACGCTGCCACCCGTTTTGAGGTAAGATACACCGAAGATGTTGAAACAGATCCTGTATCAGTAAAGCTGCATTTGAGGAGGCCAAAGTAAGAGCCTAACTTTTTTAACCTGCAAAAGGTACGCCACTTACACTGGTGTGCTGGAGCTCACAAAAGAACCATGCATGTGCTTTCTTGACCGTATTGTTGTGGACGTATTGGAAAGTGTTGACAATATTTTGGTGTTTGTTGCGTCTTCAGCCCTGTGGTTACATGATGAATCATCTGAAAAATGAGAAATGACCAAAAAAGAGATGTAAACGCAACGATTCGGTCGATGAAGGCTTGGTGTTTACCCAGCCGAAAACACTTCCTTGCACAACCATTTTCCGAACTTCTGCTAACAATGACAAGCCCTCGGACCCGTCATAACCGCTACATTTAAGCCTGAGGGTCACGGTGCCCCAGCCATCAAATGACATTTTCGCATTTATAGCTTGTTACTTTCGACAATTTTTCTTGTAACGCGGTCTGCTGCGTCAACTTCTCCCTTCCTAGTCTGCCATATACTTCCATGTTTAGTTGTTCTTCCAGTTTTTCGACCTAGAATTTGTAGACAGGTAGCGCGATGCAAGTTAGAACATCTCTTGTAGTTGATTGGAGGGAGTCAGATTGAAGCACTTGTTTTGTGAATGAATTGCGACGCGCAACATCCAGCATGCATTTGTTTCACTTACGTGATAGAATTGGCCTTTAGTTCGCTTTAGTGTGAATCCCAATCCGCATTGAGATTGGGCGCCGCTATCCATCCACACGAAAGCCTTAAAATGGCCTATCCAACTGATAATGAGGTAAGCCAAACCATCGAGCCATCAGTTAAAAGGCTAACAAAAAACCACCATAGTATGCCTAATCGCACGAGCTTAAAGACACTTAAGTAGGGCACAAATTCATTCGTTTCTTCTCTACCAAGACCAACGTATCGCTAATCAGCCTGGTTTGGATGTCGGGTGCAACGGTTACCAGCTGATACGGAGTCATTTAATAAATAACTGAAAGCAGCTGTAGTCAGATGATGGCAGTCTGATGTGCAATTAACCACAACATGAAGGATGGAGTTAGACGGACATCGCTTGTTATTCTGACAGGATCGCGTTCAACTACTACAACAAAGAAAGTTGATGCTGGGCGGATGCGCTTCAGCAATACTACAACAATAGCTTGAAAATCCGTGCTTTAGGTAGTGATTGGTACTAATCAATACCAACCACGATAAGCGCAATCCGAATACACCACAAAATTTAAATATTCATAACTAAAGAAGCAGCTTTTTCGACATTCATTTCTGTCGCACTCATCAAACGATGAAAACTCAGGGCGTTTCTGTCTGGATTTTCCGGGGTGGAGCAGTCATTAAGTTGCGTGAATTTGTAAACTGCGATTCATCATGGTAACGCGTATCTGATTGCCATGACAATCACAAAACACCCAGGATAGCCACTGAGCGCACATCAGCTCATTTGGTGGGTAGCAGCCTACAAAGCGAAGAATGTGGAAACTAGATTGGTGGACAGGCGATACAGCGACGCCTTTAGACGAACACAAATCACGTGCAATCCGATCCATTTTCTTTGCACAAGTTACCATTGAAATTTGTCGAAAATGCTTTCAAAGTTTACTAGGCTCTACTGACCGCCTTCTGCTTAGTCTACTAGGATATTAAGGAAAATAGGGTAAATAACAAATATAATGCGTTAACTAATTGGTACATTCTCTGAGGAGGTTTTGCTGAGTTAAAAGTGTTTAACACATGCCGACTAATTGTGACTCAGTTTGCAATCACGGCAATAATGCAATGAAATCTGCCGATATGGACTAACCAATTTATGCGTACTTAAAGCTGGATCAAAACTCGTGGCTGTGAATCCCTAAGGTCACTTTGCCAACTGTATTAAAAAAAATAAACTTTGCGAGGTCCGCCTGCATGGACATGATCATGGTAGTGCAAACATGAAGGATCCGTAAATGTACAAAGTGTTACGAGGCAACCAGTTAAAATTGGGTTTATGTGCGTGTATATATGTGGGTGGGTGTTTATGTAGCCAGGTTGACTGAATTTATTTGTTTGACTCTGCGCTTGTGATTTCGTTTGATCGGTTCGCCAGTGTACTAAGAACACATGGGATCTCTTCGAAGTGAATGACTGACGTCCGTGGAGTGTACAAGAGGCAGTGAATTATTTAGTAGCGGGTCACATCCGCAACATCACAGTGGTGCTAAGTAGATATTTCCGACAGTTTTAGGGAGAACGCTTGTCAGGCGAAAGCCAACCACGTCCTATAACACTGCCGTCGAAACATTTGCTGGGACAGAGTATACCCCAACCACCCAGCTGACACCACGAAGAGGTTGTTTAGCCAACCAGCAATAACTAATGGAATGCTGAAATTTTGGGATGACAGAAAAGTAAATGGGAACACTGAAACGATTTTTAGGTTTTTTAGTGCTTTTGGCCAAACATTTGGTGACAATTTCTACTTCGTGTTGTTAACCTTACAAGTTATTCTAAACAGTAACTTAGAGTCAGCCTTAGTGCCTACAACTGTAAACAGTACTAAAAGAAGACCATGGTTGTTCGTTCATAGGGAAGACGCTTTAAGTTAAATCGATTTATTCTATCTCGGTCCAGTAGGGGTACGCTAAATGTTTGGTGATTTTAAGTGTTGCTAATCAAATAGTGACAATTATAGGACGTAAACCGTATGATTTGACCGTGTACCTATTCGTGGCAGCTCTGAGAACCCGGTGTGAGGACTGGCCACTAATTTCCACGGCTTGGTTCCCAAGATAGCCTCTTCGGTGGAATATGACGGATGCTGTCAGCACTGAATAGGATGAACATTAGTCGATAATATTAAGACGTACATTGCGAAACATGCTGTCGTACACAAAAGAGCTCCATTCATCTGTGACACATTGCGCTGGTCGATGTACCGTGCGGTAAATCGTGAACAGGATACGAAGAATTTAGGCACATTGCGACGTTATTAGAGCATGGAAAGAAAATGATTTTATTCAAATGAATATCCAAAAGATAAACCGATGTTTCCGAATAGCGATAGCCCTAGATGACCAAACACGAAGATTCACAACCAGTACGTGTTCACATAACCAGGTACGTCATATCGTGTTGAGGCCACAACGCTGTAAGTAGCACAGCGGTGCTTGCGCATTACCAGAAAAAGCTCAGACCCAGTTAGCGATCTGAGTGTTGTTCTCATACGCAGCTTGCAGAACCAAACAGCTGACAGAATAATCAACGGCTGCACCCCGTTGGGATACCGCAAGTGTCATCGCAGAATGATCGTTGGGGCGATGCTACTTACCCATCGCTAAACAGGGACTTACATCCCACCAACCTGGCAGCCATTTTCAATCACTCTGCACAGCCCAGGGCTTGGGCATCGTAAGAAAAGACGCTTGGCTATTGTAGTGCAGTCAATGACTTAAACATCAAGGCGTTCTGCATATGGGATAAAAACAGCTCAGCTTATTACCAGTCTCCCTACCACTTACATAAAAACAGGTGGTTGTGCCTGGTTTCTAACTGGTGACATTAACAAATAGCCCAAATTTGTTTGAGTACCGAAGAAGTGGATTTCGTGATTTGTTTTACCAAAAGGATATTTGCCGCACCATAAAAGAACAGCGCATCAGGTGCTAGCACATTGAGGTCTGAGAAGTATGTATACAACACAACTAATACATTGTAGAAAAAGCCAGGCGGTTGTGTTGAAGAGTCGAGCGAAAGAGGACTGCTGGATGCAAGTGCTGTCCATGACTGTCTAATCCATGATGGGATAGCATAATGTTGTATCCATGCGTTCTTAAGAGATCCCAACCACAGGTGTTTCATTTGCTAGAGGTCAGTCACCACAGTAATTTGTGTGACCACCATCTCAAGTTGGCAGAGCAGTACAGTCGTTTGGAATGCCGCCGGAATTTCCGTTCCTTACGCGTTTACAAAAGGTGGATTGCCCTAAAAATATCTGTCATCTGTGCTCTCACATTAGTAGAGTTTAAAGCTCCAGTTGACCGTACAGTTATTTCGCTTCAGCATCTCACATTATTCATTGCTCACGGATAAATATAAGTGTCTGTACAAAATTGCACTTCCGTCAAATCTTAGGACATGTTCCACCTATTTCACCTTTATGTGTTTACAGGGAATCGGCACAATGTTCACAAACCTGCCATTTGTCATTACTACTTAAGTGTTTGCAGTCGATTTACTATTTTTGATAACTATACTTCCGTGAGTATGCTAGTGTAAACATACTTTTGCTGTCAATTTTTCCATACTTTTCTGTGTTCATCATGCCCATCCCACGTGGCCAGGTAGGCTTTAACATTTTTGCCCGTACAACCATTATTCCATTGTACTTCAAAAAACGTCTTGAAGTTGTGACACGAAGTATATAGGAGACTTGTATGTAAAGCATTTAGTTTGCATGTGCAAGCCATCTTAACACAACCACGACCCGCCTCCAATGTTTACCCATACTCAGCTGACGTAATTAATGGAAGCTAAGGTTCAGACAATCCCAGTTTGGGAAACAGTTATTCTTGCCAAGCGTTACATTTGATTAAGCCCAAAAGTATACACTTTCCACAGCAATTAAATCACATTGGTTTTAATCGGCCACCCAAGCATCATAATCCCATCAGATACACTCAAATTAGCCAAGAACAGGTGAGTGAACATACCCCTGCGGTGCGCTAATTTCAATCTAGCAGCCGAACTTTTGCATGTGTGCCTCTTGCAAACTCAAGAATATAGACGCTGTTTAGTTTATTTATGTAAGTAGAAGATTATCTTAAAAACCATAGCGTCTGAACAGAAGATAGCGATATCTCGGCCTCATGGATGGAAAGCTATACAGAAATCCGCAGAGGCTATCACTGGTTGAGTTAAAAATTGGTATATAATATCAGTATTAACCTAACTGACTAGGAAGTAAGGTCACCGGTTCGAATCCGCGCAGAGGAGTGCGTCGTCGCGGTATAAGCAGCCTATAGGCGACTGGTGGTGGTGCCGCGTCATTGAAGCGCCGTTACGGGGTACGGCTGACATATAGTATTTTTAAGAATATACTTAGCTGCTTGAACTACGAAAAGTACAGACACAGAAGCACACAGCTGATCGGTTTAGTAGTACTTTAACTGCATGTCGTCTATGGAGCTGGATTAGATATGGTTTTGTCTTCTTGAGGCAATAATTGTAT